TAAAAAAGCAAAGAAATTAATTAAAAAAACTTCTGAAACTTCAGAAAGTAATGATTCTAATGGTGTAAAGAAAAAAAAAATTGTCCGAGTGGTGAAAAAAGTCGCAAAGAAATCAAACAATGATGCTAGTGCCGATACTGATAAAAATTTGGACGAAAAGGAAAAATCTGGAAAATCACGAATAAAGAAAAAGATTGAGTCAAAAATCGGCACTAGTATCGCGAAGAATGCCATCGACAAGACGAAAGAAAATAGTGGAATAGAACCAAAGGACAAAACCGGTGGAAAAATTTCAGCTATTGGAGATCGAACTAATTCTGGAGACGAAACAATGGCGACAGAAACAAAAAGTGATCAATCAAAAGGACAGGAATTTCAGCAACGAGTAAATAGAAGCAATTTAAAGCTTGATCTATCTAAAATACCCCAACACTCATTCAGGAATGTCACACCAAAAAAGGATTCGCCGAAATCAGATGCGCCAAAAAATTCTATCGATTCTCCTAAATCAAACGAAGATCTTTCTGGCAAACTAATGGAATGTCTTTCAAAAGTGACACATCACGCCAACATTGCTGGTAATAAGATAATCATAGATAAACCGTTACGCGCGAAAGATGTGGCCGAATTGAAGAAAGAGGTAACTGAATGTGCGAAAATCATCGAGAGCCACGCGGAATCGATGACAGTTAATAATACGGAATCAGAAAATCCTTCAGAGGGAGCACCGATTGAAGAAGAAATGAAAGAGAAAGAATCAAAATCGACAGATTATCCGAATGAACTCTTCTCTCCAATGGATGAACCTGAGAGTTTCGATTCGTGGTCGGTCAGTTCAGCAGAAATGAGTCACGCACGGCCCGACTTGCATTCTCCAACCTCGCCTTCACATTCGCTGTTTAGTCGAAACGACAAGTCGGATAACTCAGAGTCAATAATCGACCGAATACGTAGGCGTAGTTTCTATTCACGATTTAACGATAGGCGAAGACCGTCATTGACCGCTCCCCCTCCAGGCGTCAATCTACCAACCAGTGCCACGCTGCCGAGAAAATTCAGTTTTTCAGGACATCGGGAACAACGAGATCGCAGCAGGTATGGAATAGGATATACAGGATTGGCCACGGTTTCGAAACCCACTCTCAGGCATACGGCAGAGAAAAGTTACGGCTTATACGCTGAAGATGGCGTTGCGATCGGTCGCAATCGCTCCCTTGATAGAGGTATTCGTTATTCAGATGCTGGCTATGTTACCGATCTTAAATCGCCGACCGAATACGTATCTGTTCTCTCCTCTTCCTATGATCCCGTTAGAAGATATCTTAGATCACCGACTTTCGACCTCTCCACTTCTAGGTCGAGATATCATAGTGCTGATTTCTCTGCGGATGCAGACGTAATCTACAAACCTTCTCTTTCCGGTTTATCAAATGATTCTGGAATTGACAATCATGTTTACATTGGTCTTGGTTATTCTTCCCTTCCGAGGAAATATGGAATCGCGGAACCAAAAACTATCGAATATTATGAGGAACTTCTATCTCCAAATACGACGGATTATTTGCCGGCTAGAAGATCACCAATATCCAACGAGTATTCTAATAAATGCGAGAACGGATATTACAATGGAAATTTGGACACATTTAATCGTCAATTTGAACAATCGAATATTATGAAAAGAAAACCTAGTTCGGAGAATGCAAGAACATTAGAGGTTTCAGAAAGTGGCGCTTCGAGTTCTCCTATCTCCTGTGATGAACAGTCAACGGAACAAAAAAGGTAATGTTCCTTTCTTTTCTTCTTCCATTTTTTTAAAGACATGATTATCCATAATATCATTATGAGACATCAAGACATTATAGAAATAAGTAAATAGATTACAATATATTAATTGTAATAAAATCATTCAAAACATAGAATGTTTTGTAATATGTAGAAATAATTTCAGAGATTAAATCTTCTGTTATTGAAAATAATAAAAAAAATTTATACAAATATATATATATATATATATATATATATAAATGAAGTATTTTATTAATTTTTTTGTCTTATATTTTTTATCTTAAAAAATTAATTTTATTATGTTAAAGTTTTAATTTTATACATTTCATAAATTATATATAAATTATTACAGATATCATATATTTTTCTTTTAAAATTATATTATTAAAGAATATTTAAATATTCTGTATATATTTTATTAATGCAAATTATAATCGATATTTAATTTTTTGATTCTTATAAATTCTGTTGTATATGAATTTTTTTTTTATTATAATTTCATTATTACATCACTATAATTATTTTATTATATTATAAAAATATATTATAAAAATATTATAAAATTATATTTATATTTTTATATTTTTATATATATCCATTGTTAAAATACCATTATTAATATCTGATTATATATATCGAAATTATTTTGATTAATATTTATATAATATATATTAATATATTAATATAATAATTTATATTATTTATATAATATTAAATTTTTACATGTTATATATTAAAATTTTTAAATATTAAATTTCTTTTTATCATAATAATGCATTTTTTCGAATCGAAAATAAAAATTCTTTTATTGAGAATTCTTTTTTAAACTTTTATTTGCTTTTACAATAATTTTTACAATATTATCGATATATCGTTAAATAACATCAAGATAATAACATATCGATATCATTAAATGTTCATTTTCCTCTCTAAACTTTTCATGAATGAATTTAATATCGAATTCGTTTTAATTTTTCAGGAATAAAAATGAATGCACGCCCGAAGTGAAATGTCTCCATTCAACGTGTACAGAACAGATGACAAATTGCGCCAAGGATCACAGTTAATTTTGATTACATGATAATACTTTATAATCACTTTGCAATTTTTCTTCGATATACGACGCCGATTTCTCGGATTAATGTGAATACGATATTCATTATTATTCGTCGTATATGATCACCATTTCGTTGTAAAACTTTTATAGTAATTTTTCGTTTTTTTATAAACGAATTTCCAAACTATAGCGAAATAACGTTCCTATATATGTTACAAGGACAAACACACTATCGTCTTTCGATTATCAATTACTAATTTTCTTCTAGTCTATTATTTAATTTAATTTGAGATTTTGGATAACATTGAAATTATTTGATTGTACCAAAGAGAATATTTATCTCACTCAATTGATTTTTTTCAAGACCGGCAAAATTTTTTCGATTGCCGAATGTTTGTGGCACAATTATTATTATGCCACAAAAAAATATTCATTATCGCAGCTATCTCATCCATTATCTCATATTTAAGAACTTTTCTTTTTTTTTTTTTTTAAATTTAAAAATACGTACATTGTATTAATTGTTTTCTATTATTATTATTATTTATCATCATCAATTATCATCATTATCTCCATCATAATCATCATAGCTATCTTTATTATTATTATTAATTATTATTATGATCATCATCATTTAAGATCATCAATTAATATTATTTTTTGACTATATTACATAAAAGTGTGCCTTGAAAGTGTTGCTGCGACGTAAACTGTATTTCTTTTTTTTTTCTGCGTCTCAGCTTGCGTGTTAATAGCAAAACGTATATATAATCAAATGATCGTTTTTTTCTTTCTTTTTTTCTTTCTCTTTTTACTTTTCTTTTTTATTTCCTTAAAAATTACATATGTTGTAGGAGTGATTTTAACTGCTGTATTTGAATTAAAAATTGCAACTTGACACCAGATATTAATTTACGATAATAAATATTATAGTAAGATATTTTATTAACAATTGAAATATTATGAAAATGAAACTCTGTACGAATAGCGAATTTGTGAAATATTTGAATTTGTATCTACATTTTCGATTCGATTTTATTATATATATTTAATATTATTCGTTATATATTTCTAAAAATGTTTCGAGCACAGCGCCTCTGAGTTTTATCGCTTTGTCATATTTTCGTGTGAATCTCTTCTATATTTTCATTTCTACATTTTTCTTCGAATATTTTGTTGAAAGTTTTTAAATATTTCCTGTAAATCTTTGACTGATTAGACACGGTCTTCCGCTTACTATGTATGCGTTTTCTATTCATATTTTAAAATAAAGTACGCTAATCGAACAAGTATCGTTCGCCTGCCCATTGTTAAAAATTGATGTTTTTTTTTTTTTCTACATGACATTTCAATCTAGTTTCCAGTAATAATTCCAGTAAGTAAATTCTAGTGGCACTTGAAATCGTGATAAAGGGCAACATGATCAATCCTATGAAATTGCGATTTTATAACGAAAGATTTGAGAAAGAAAAAAAATATTTTCGACTGCATGAAAAATTTGTAGCTATCGCGCGAACAAAACCATTAACCGGTAAATTTTACGCGAAACATGACGTGATCCCAGAATGCGAGATCCGACAAGAATATATCGATTTGATTTCGAAACGACTACTTCTAACCCCAAAGGATATTTATACGTTCAAGCCACCGACAGTGAATATGGAGTACGCAATATAAGTACATCGAAAACAAATACACGTATCTCTTATAAAATAATCTTTTCGTGATTCAAATTTTATAGGTACGGTTGGTTTTCCGAACTTTTGATACCTCGAACGAAAGATCCAAGATTATGCTTCCCTAAAAGGCAAACAGATTTCATATCTAATGAGCTTAAAATACGTCACATACAAAGAGGTTTACCGATCGAAAAATTTGTCGGAATACCATTCAAAGTTTAAAAGCATACCGTATGATACTAACGATCGTCGATAAAATTCAATATCGATGTTACGTCCATCTCGTTTCCTGGCAACAAACGAACAACACAGATCCCGCTTCAACATGCTATAGGCCAACCAATTTTCCGTACATATCGTTTCCTTGCTCGAGGAAACGTTTTTTGGAAGAAACGCCATTTGGAGGGTGATCGCGCGATTTTTTTGAGCAATTGGACAACGCCGGCGATCAACCTCACAGGCCCCCTCTTTGATCGTAAACGTTTATTAGTTTAAACTACCGAAGAAAATGATTTTGAGATAAAAAATGATATTTTGATACCTGATACCTGTTGGTTGAACGAAACGATCATGGCGGGGAAAGGTTTCTGCGTAAAAATAAAACTTGAATTACACGCCGTAAGTATCACAATTGAATTTCAACAATCATTTAATATTCAATATTAAACTTATGCGAAATAACCTCTTTTAGATAACGTGTCCGGGTGTATGGCTGTGTCCTAATGGGAAAATAGCGCTGCGAATAACCAGTCTTGGTTCCATCCTAGAATCTCACAGAGTATCACCGATTTTTCCACTATTATTTCACAACGAGTTTAACTTTAAGAAAACTTTCACACGGCTGGCTGCTTTGACAGAGTTGCAACGGATTCTGGAGAAACAGCCTTTCTATGCGGAATTGATACAATGGCTTAACCCGTGTAACCAACCCATCATCTTGGCCACCTTTCATACTAGTTTAGCTGATCTTCTCTATCCCGTAGCTCATTGCAAACATTTACTACCTGGAGTCGACATTGATCTACTTATGGACCCCACCAAATATTTTCCTGTTAGTATCTTTTTTATTTCTTCCCTTATACAAGTTCAATTAAAAATAAAATATTTTTTTGATTTTATTTATACAGGGTATTATAGCACCTAAAATCGAGATTTCGACAAAAACAGTCATAGAAGAAGTAAAAACGATTTACCATGCAAATATTGATCAATCTTGTGTATTCAATCCAAAAACAATCGATTCTAAGGTAAAATATATAAGAATGATAAATATTATTATTCCCTTTATTTTTATTATCTAATGCGTCAATCATCAACCAATCGATTCAATAAACATGATTTTAGCAAAAATCTTACACCCACAAAAAACGAGCCGTCAAAGGTATTATCAGGCAAAGAAAAGTTTGTCATAGTCGAGCAAAATCGAAAAATCAAGTTTGCTATTCGTAAGTATTATCAATTATTTATTATTATTATTATTATTATTATGTATAATATTTATTAATAAATGAATATAGATAAAATTATATTATTTGAATTTCATTAACAAATATCAAATGTAAATATGGCATACTTTCACAGTGCACGGTACCGATGCAAATCATGCAACGATATAATGTGCCCATATCAGATTGAACCATATCGAACTAGTCAATGTTACCATCCATTGAAACAGAAATTAAAAAGCCAAAAGAATCTTGCCATCCATGTTGACGCAAATGATGCATTGCCATCACATGAAATACCTTTTATTTGTGGCAACCTGCATATCTTTGATAGCTGCCCTGTCTGTTTGAAGTATAAATGTTATTTTTCCAGTGAATGTGACGGTACTTCTCCCGATAAGTCGATTCCAATAAATTTGTGTAATTATCAGCATTATGGATGTCATTGTTTACCGAATAGTCAGTTGTCGCAAGAACCTATTTCTACGTAAGTTTATCGTACATGATGCAATTATTTTTTAAATGATTCGATCAGTTTATTTTTCTTTTTCTTTTTTTCTTTCTTTTGTTCTTGTTTTCGTTTTTATTTTTGCAGAGTACCAGGCCTGATATTTTCGGCAAAGGATTCCAAATCAAATGTATAGGTTCCATTGCTCATTAATCATTTTTTATAATAAAATGAAATCATCAAGAAAGAAAAAATACACAAAAATAACATTTTATTGTATGCAATAACATTTTATTCGGATTTTGAAATTTGAAAAATCTTATATTATAAGAATATATACTTTTCTTTCAATTATTCGGTAGACGAAAGATAAATGCGATTTTAAATCGATTAAATATAAAGTAATATTAATAATTTGATTAATACCAAGATAAAGTTCAAAACTTAATTTATTATTTAATGAATACTTTTCGTCCTAATGAATGCAATGGAGTACCTTGAATTCTCGAACCGCGAAGACACACTGATTTACTTAACAATGCTGGACACCTGAGATATATTCCACGACCTTCTGGTGTCCATGCTCTTAATGAGACATTGTTGTTTTCAAATGGTGTAATTGCGATCCAACCTGTCGATTGATTAAATCAAATTATATTAAAATCATTTCAATCATTGTTTATTATATAGATTTACCTATACTTGACAATACAATATCTCCAGCAGATTCATTTTTCACGCCAGTTACTTTTATCTCCTTTGATTTTAATTTCGGCCATATTTTTAATCGTTTTTGATCGTTTGTAGGTACAACGAAAGCTTCAGTTTCTAACAATTGATCATATACCTCCTCTGCATCAAAAGTATAACATATTGTTATAGGTAATTTCTTACTTGCAAACAGAGTGCATCTATTTTTCGATAAAAAATATATAAGAAAATTTAATTTTTTTAATTTGATTTAATAATTCTCTAGCTGCATAATAACTATTTTTCAAAATGCAATAAAAAATATAAAAATTATATATATATGTATACCGTATAAAATATTCTCCTTCAAGATAATCTAATCTTCCCATACCAGCTACAAATATAGTTTGTTTTGGTTTAAGCACAAATGTTCTTGGTGTAATAATTTCCTGCGGTAATGTTAACAATAATTCATCAGTAGTTAATAAATCCAGTATTTGATCTTTCTGAATAGTACCCGGAGTATCATAACACCAACGACTATGTTCGTACTCTGATTCGGATTCATTTAAAAAAATCTTTTTCGTCATGAATTTATACGATTTTTCTAAAAAAGGATCGATACTCTCGTCTTTTTTTGAATACTTGGAAAACGATTTACCAACATCGTCTATAAATCCCATAATAAAAATCCCATTTAAATGAATATTTGATTTATAAATTAATAAAAATTAATAAAAAGATTTAAAATTTTTTAATTACCTTCTAATGTTGCAAACTTCATATTTCCTGTTTCTTTAAATTTATAATCCCTATATTTCGATTCTTGTATCTTATAAAATTTTTCCTTGATAAGCCTTTGTACTCTTAACAAATATTTTTTTCCATTCGGATTTAAAATTGGAAATTTGAGTAAGTTTAATGTAGTTCCTGGCCAAGCAGATATTGTAGCGCATTGTACGAGATCGATAGCTTTTACTTTACAATAATCAGAATTTAATAATGTATTGAACAAAGAAGACTTTCCAACATTTGTACAGCCAACTAAATATACATCACCTGAAACATGAATTATTATGATTATGAAGTGTATAGAAAAATATAAAAAAATAAAAAAATAAATAAAAAATATAATCGAAAATTTTTTCTTAAATTTTTCTTAATTTTTTCTTAAATTAACAAATACCTTTATATCGCCATTTGTACTGCAACTTATTTATTAACTCTTCTATACCAAATCCAGTTTTCGCAGATATGAGTTGGATGTGTGTAATGTTTTCTTTTTTCACACCAGTTACATGAACTACTGTATTTGCTAAGAGTTGCTTAATGTTCTCAAGAAACTTTGGAGAATCCCTAGGCAATAAATCAATTTTATTCCCAACAAGAAAAATAGGAGTAAAAGGATGCATAATACTTTTTAAATCAGGCCAAATGCTGCAAGGGAAATCAGTCAGATCAATTATAAGAATAATGGCGCATTTTTTAGTTTTAATCACTTTCAGTAAGTTAGGATAATCTTCAATTGATACTTTCACTTCTAAAGCTGCATTGTAAAACTTCAAAAAATGACATCTTTGACATATTGTTGATTTCAAGTCTTCATCATCATTCTTTGAAAATAATTCTAATGGTAAATATCCAGGAATTTCTGGATCTTTGCAATGCAATAAAGCACCGCAGCCACCACATGGTATAGAACTGACTTCTGAATTAGGATTTGGTGTACCATAATAATTATACCAACATTCGTTAAGTAAAGTATCATCAAAGTGTTCATAATCAGTCATCCAAGTAGATGGAATTTTCCATAATTCTCCTTTTGGTATCTTATTGTTTTTTTCTACATTTTCAAGCATAGAAATATTTTTATTATTATTCAAAGTATTCTGCTTTATTTGCAAATATTTTTCAAACAATTCTTTGTACTTTTCATTTGGTAAATTTATATTTGTTTTTTCTGTATTAGTATCATCTAACATTTTTGTATCAGTTATTTCATATGAGTCTACTGCTGCATATGGCATATATATAGGTTTTTGTTTTTTCACATTTTCATTTTCACATTTATCAATCTTTTCTTCATCTTTTTTTTCTTTGAGAATATTGGTCTCTTTTTTATCCTTTAACCATTCATTTAGCATAATACTATATGTTTTTTTCTCACTCATTTCGAATTTCATCTTTTCTTCTTGTTTTATTCTTTGTTTTTCTATTTTTTTATGTTTTGCATATCCTATTTCTCCATAATCTAAATAATCGCAATACAACAATTTATTTCGAAGAGATAAAACTTTTGGATTCACTTTAGATCCAATATTCCTATATAAAATCGTTTTTTTAAATTGTTGTAATCCTAAATTATGGTACATGTTATGATTACATAATTGAAATAAGTAAAATTTTAGATTCGACGTTTGCATGATAATATATAATAATATTATTTAAGATATTTTTTTAAGATATTTTTTCTTATTATTAAATATATATTGAATATATTAATATTTTTTAATATTGAAAAATTTTTAAAATTGAAAAATATATCAAAATTATCACACAATATTAAAATTATCACAAATATCGTTTTTATTATGATTTGTACTAATTATCATAACTATTGAAACTTGAAAAAAACATAATTAAAATACAAATATATTTCTAAAAAGGTTATATATAACCTCAATGAAATATACAACCTTATATACAACCTGCAATGAAAGTTAATAGATACAAGTGAACAAAACTATGAGTCAAAAACTATCGATAAAACCTACTAGTGAAAACAATTGTAACAATTAAAAAATCACTTAAAGAGCATATTGAAATGATATATATTCATTAAAAATATCAATTGAAATATTATATACAATATAAACGAAATAAATATTTTAAAAAAATTTTTTTTTATAAAAATCTTATTATTCGATTTCGATGTATCGATCAATTTTTTAAAAAATTATTTATGCGATACTTCTTTTTATTAAATTCTAACTATTTATTAAATTCTTATTTTATTTTTTTAACGCAATACAGTTTATAAAAATTTTTTTGCTGTTTTTATAGGAACTATAAAACATTAATATTACATTGTAACGAAAAATAATTTGAGAATGGAGAAAGAATATAATATCAACAGATTCAAGACACAAAAGTTGGTCAGGGTTGAATATCTGAATTTTGGTATTATAAAATATCTATAATTATGTTAATTTATTTTTAATGCTTTTATTTCGAAAATTATATCAATAATTTTTATTATATATATTTAACTGACATTTATATTATATTAAATTTTTATATTATAAATTAATTATTTATATTATATTAAACTTATATTATATTATATTTAACTGACATTTTTACTATTTTTTTATTATATTTTTTATAATTGAAATTATACATGATTTAAAAATGATTTTGGAAAGATATATTTTAATATACGAAAATATTAGAAAATAAAAAATATTTATGTGTTTTGTTTTAAATTTTATATTTAATAGGAATAATAAAAGATTTTGTTTCTCCGAATTTTGTTTGCTCTTATATATATATATATATATATATATATATATTATGTATTATATATGTGTCGTATTAACTATAGATGGCAGTAGTATCTTATTTGTAATAGCGTGTTATTATCATTATTATCAAGTTAGTTAAAATATAATCATTTTCATAAAAGAAAAATAAACATAAAATGAAAATTATAATATAAATATGAAAATTATTTCTTTATATATATAAGTAATATTTAAGTATATATATTTTACTGAGATAATTAACATTTAAAAAGTTGAAACAAATAAAAAATAAGAATAATACGTTATATTACATTATATATTAACATAGTTAAACATGTTTTCTCATTGACTTGACATTAAAAGAATTTAATATAGAAAAACAATAGAAAACAGTTATCGACAAAGTGTACGTGATCAGTGACATGTAAACTTACGATTCGACGAGGTCGACAAGTTTAACTCGTGTTAATTGTATAGAGGTCGTGCAGCTTCATTTGTGAAACCAAATAATTAATTATGGAATTTATGGAAATAAAATTAGAATTATTTTGATTTTTTGTTTAATTTTTATCATTTTACTCATTCAATATATTGAAGTTGTTTTGAAAAAATGGTGAAAGATGAATAAGTCTTCCATCGTAAATATATGAATAGATATACATATACATATATATACATATATTTAGATAGATGGATAGATAAATAAATATAGACAAATAAAAGTGCATGAGAACGCATATATATATGTATATATAAGTATATATGTTATTATATACTAACTACATACGCGACATCGCGCATTATTCTCAGATTCTTAGGAGACTGGAGAGACTAAAGGAGAAATGCGAGAAGAATTACACATCAACCAAGAAAACATTGCGAATGATCAGAATATTGTCAATTCTCTTTAGAATTATCGATCAAAATATCCGATCTAATTTAATCTTTAAGCCAATTAAACTTAATACATATATATATATATATATATAAATATTGAATAATAAAATAAAAAAATGTTTTAAATATATTTAGATTTTCATTTTATAGCATATAAGATTATCATTGATATTTTTA